ACAAAATGTACCTCACAGGATTTTTGGGGGGGCGAGGGGTTGTTTTCAGATTAGGCAATGGGTAATATTCCTGGGAGGACTCTGTTTTGTACACAGAAGTGAAGGGTAAATTAAAGTCTATCTTAATTCCCAATAGTCTGAAAAATGGAAAATAAACAGAAGATGACTAAACAGTATAGAATTCTAACAAGGTTCTAAATTCCTAAATAAGACTACAGTGAGACTACAGAAACTTTTACCCTGAAACAACAGACAGAGGGTACTATATTTTTCCATGAGCTTGCATTGTAATCTCCTATAGGTCCAATATATGGAACTAGGAAGGGCATATAGAAAATTGGCAAATAACATTGTCTTAACTTATAGTTTCATCTCTAAATAAATATTGAGTATCTCAAAATAGCATTTGCTAAAGGATAAAAATAAAATTACATTAAAATTAAAAGGATGAAGATAAAATCCACAACATTCCATAAAACATATGGAGTGTTAGTTTTATTTAGCTAGTTTTTAACAACAATAACACATTTGTACAGTAAAAATCTCCCAACAGAAGGCATCTAGGTCAGAATGAATCTTCCTCTCATTCCAGCTACCCAGGAGCTGTCTTCTGAACCTCCCCGACATTGCTCACTCCCAGCCCAGGCAAAAGGAAATACTGTCATCCGTCATAAGGTTTTTTGTGTATTCTGTTGGAAAAATTCTCTACATATACAAGTATATGTTATCTATCTGTAAATCTGTATACGTTTTAACACAAATGTGAACACATCATAATCCAAACCTGAAGTTTAATTTTGTTTTTACTTAACATATTCTTAACTACTGTCTCATATTAATGAATAAAGAACTACTTTTTTTCATAGTAAAAATGAACCATAATTTTATGGAGAAATAGTCCATAAATTTGTTGAAAAACTACATCAGCCTTTGAAGGCTCAAAAGTAGGAAATCCACTTATCGTTCAAGGTAGTCTCCCTTTCACCTCTCTTCTCTAAGTAATTTTATGGGTGAAGGAAGAGTTCCCCCCACAAAATGTGAGGGCCTCATATTCTCTGCTCTGCTTTGGGGAATTGTAATCTGAAGAATACTGACTCTCAAACACTAGAAACTAGACATGTTAAATTGAAAAAATCAGTGTAATTATGGATGGACATTTTCTCCCTTTTTACACATAATCTATAACATCAAAATATACTCTATTGAACATGTTGAATTATAAAACAAATCTGAATGATTTGATCAATATTAATGTAAAAAACTTTAAGAGGTTTTCAAGGTCAGGGAAAATTTTGGTCAGAGGAAGTTCATACATCTGACTGTTCACCGGAGTCATAGATGCTGTTGTATGTTTCTGTCTGTTGCTTAATAAACTGGGATTCTTGAGTCAGGAAGTGAATTCCTGAGATAGATAGTCTATGGGAATTTCTTGTGTCCTCAGAATCTTTTTTGAATACAATCAGCAGAAAATGCTTACCATAATGGAAGTAAGGGAGAGAATTGAACTTAGAAGTTTAATTCTTCTGCTTGTATGTCATGAGTCCACAGAATCAAAACCTACTACCAGACCCCACAAACCAGTGTAAATAGCACAATATAGAGTCCTGCTCTTCCCCAGCCACTTCTCATACATACACCCCACAAGCTCCAAATATGCAACGTCTTCCAAGTATGCAACAAGATGCCTTGGTGTAGGACCCAGCCCACTCCTCTAATGTAATTAAAACTGAGAGTCTTTATAAGACTGTGTGTTTCTCTGGCAATACTTTTCTCCTTAACTTTCCCCTTTTACTCTAAGAGAGTTGATTATTAGCAGTATTTTCCTGACATAATTACTAAAACTCAATAGTGTGGAACTGGGACTCTATTTTCAAGGCTTAAAGATGGAAAAAAAAAATGAGTGTGTCTCTGAGTATGCTTTACAGGGGGAGGAAGGACTATCCCTACACTGATTGTGAATTCAATATAGCAGGTGCCTGAAATGTACATAGCCTTCCATATATTCTATGTTAATCCAAGCTGTTAGGGGATTCAGCCTGACTTCCCTCCCCTGAGCTTCTATTATGTGTTAATTCTACTGGACTCTAGTACCTTTCCATCTGGCTGAAGGCCTAATGAATTCAAGTCAATAACTTTGGCCCTTTCTCCAGTCTCCATTCCTCCTGTCCACAGTTAGCTTACATGTAGGAATTTTCCTGATGTCCAATACATCATTCAGAATACATCAATAGGGGCCTCCCTGGTGGTGCAGCGAATTGAGCGCTGCACTGAAGCTGTCCACAGCCTCTGCAGCATGGGTTCAATTCCCTGCCATCCAGGCAGATTCCCACATGGTGTGGCAGACCTCTCCTGTTGTGTCTGCTGCTCCCCTCTGCAGTGTATTTCGGTGGTCTGCTTGTTCTGCATCCTGCATCTGTCTCTGATGAATCCTCTCACCCTCCCACACCTCTGGCCTGTACCCCAGCTCTTGTATAAAAATAAATAAATTTTTTAATAATTTATTTTATATAATTCTTACATCATTTTTGCACAAGGTATGCATTTTCATTTTGGTTATATTCCCCATACAATTGCACCCCCCTCTTATTTTGACCCTAATTCTTCTCTCCCCACCCCCTTCTGTACTGTGTCTCTGGTTTATAGTTGCTTGTTGATTTTGATTTTTACATTGTATTAATTAGTCTTTTTCCTGGTCCCTCATTTATTTAGGTTTTCTAAATTCCTGCTATGAATGAGACCACCCGGTATTTTTCTTTTTCTTTCTGACTTTTTCTTTCTGACTTTCACTGAGCATGATCCCTTCTAGCTCCATCCATGTTGCTGCAAACTGCATGTGTTTATCTTTTTGATTGCTGAGTAATATTCCATTGGATATATATACCACATCTTCTTGATCCAGTCATCTATTTTTGGGCTTTGGGCATTTGGGTTGTTTCCATAGCTTAGCTATGGTAAATAGTGCTGCTATAAACATAGGGGTGCAGGTGCCCTTTGGAATTAATGTTTCTGTGTCATTTGGGTAAATACCTAGGAGTGGAATTGCTGAATCATATGGAAGCTCTATGTTTACTAGGTTGAAGAATCTCCACACAGCTCTCCATAGTGATTAGACCAGTTTGCACACCCACCAGCAGTGCAGGAAAGTTCCTTTTTCTCCACAACCTTGTCAACATTTGTTGCTGCTAGTTTTTTTTTTTAATATGTGCCATTCTCACTGGTGTAAGATGGTATCCCATGGTAGTTTTGATTTGCATTTCCCTGATTGCAAGTGATGTTGAACATTTTTTCATATGCCTGTTGGCCATTTGCATTTCTTCTTTGGAGAAGTTTCTTTTTAGCTCTTCTGCCCATTTTTTGACTGGATTATTTTGTTTTTGTTGAGTCTCATCAGATCTTTGTAGATTTTTGTGATCAGTCCTTGATCATTAGTGTTGTATGCAAAAATTTTCTCCCAGTCGATGGGGTTTCTCTTTGTTTTGGTTATTGTCTTTTTTGCTGTACAGAAGCTCTTTAATTTGATGTAGTCCCAGCTGAAAAATAAATAAATCCTTAAAAAAATTAATACATCAATACATTTCTACTGCGCTGCCTCTGTCTACTAGGCTAGAACACCTGGTATTAGTGGACATTCAATGTTCATAGGTGCTCACTCTGCTCATTAGGGACTGTGCAGGCAGCAGTTTCTGATGTCGTGTCTGTAGCTAAATGAGTTTACCTACCTTAATTTTGTCTACAGCTCAGCCATCCCCTTTATTAATACTTTGCATTATCCCAGTTGTAGATACCTCATTCCTGACTTGCTGAGTTACCAAATTTACATTAGAGGAAATTCTTTATAACAACTAAGTCTTCCTTTTCTGGCCATCAGTCATAGCCTGGGCTGTCAGGATTACACTTGATAAAGTCATACTCTCAGTAAAGCTATTCTTAATCCCCTAAAATAGGATTGATTGCCTTTTCATACTTTTGCCATAATGTCTTCCAATTGTGTTAATCAGCACTTATCACATCATAATGTAATTGACTGTCAAAAACTGTCCCAGTCACCATTATAGCCCAGTGTCTACCACATTGCCTAGCATGTAGAAGTGCTTCACAAATATTTGTCTAATGAGTAAATGAATAAAAGTTGGAGCTGAAGGAGAAAGAACAATCCTATAGGGGGATATGTGAACAAACAGAGAGAAATAGATATGTGGCATATGGATATTTTCTCCAAAAGTATTTTTGCCTTAGAAGTTAGTCTGACACATAATCATGAGTAAACCTTGTATAAATGTGTCCATTTATGGCAATATGATAAGCAGTGATGGAATAAGATAGATTCTGAACAGGAGAAAGGGGTAATTTTTGAGAGGAAATGTGTTACAAAGAACAGTTGGAGAAAGAATATAAATGCACTTCATCCCAGATTGTTTGAAAGCATGCAAGATGGCAAAATTATATTTAAAGAATATATAATCCCAAGTGCCATGTGTGTATGTGTGTATTATGTTTTTTTAAGTATAACTTTAATGAAAAAGCATGATATATTAACTGAACAACAATGATGAACAAATGTGTAAATGATTCAAATACTAGTGAAAATGATTCCACAATTAAAATATATGTGTGATGACATAAAAAGGAAATATCTCAAAATATAAATGGAATATGTTTGGAGGAAGAATTATGGCTGACATTTTTAATAGTGCTTAGTATTTTCCAAATTTTAATTTAATAAGCATGTGCTGCCTTAATCATTTATAAAGAGAGTTCCCTTTCTTGCACAGACTAACTTGGTGAGTAAAATAATGTTATTCTCAAATCAACTGGACAGGTTGTAAATCTATTGGAGTAAACACAACTTAATTGCCAACTTTTTCAACAAAATAGGGCAGACAGACATCATATAAATAGAAATGTTGATGATACCAAACATAACCTTAAGAGGAACACTAATTTTTTTTGCCCCCCTAAAAGTTTACAGCTTTAAGATACTTGCTGGTAGATACCTGTATTTCTTCATTTCTCTGTAACAAGTATTTCCAAGAGGATAGGGCACCTAAACATGCTGAATAAGTGTTCCCATTTATCCTTTTCCATATAAAAATGCACACTGTTGAATATATAGACACAAATGTATTACACAAACAGACAAACTGCTAATGTCACGTAAGAGTCCAGAGCTCATTATTAAAAGTGAGAAAATTTCTAAGTGGGCCTTAATCAAGCAAATAAACAAAAAAAGTTCTATACCAACACTCTAAATGGGGGCAGATAGAAAACCAAATACTGTATTAGTGGACATATTTATATGTCTATGTTGATAAATGATTGATTGATTAATTGATTGATAGGTAGAGATTCTCCTTTGCCTTTAAGGATCTAAATATATCGTAAAACAATCAGAATAAATATTTCTCTACTCTTAGATGGTAAGGTCTAAGATTTTTGGTGGTACTACATTGTGCCCATTTTATTTATTACATTGTGCCCATTTTACTTTTAAGAATTCAAAGACCAAAAGGCCAAAGAAACTGTAAAATAAAATTCTAAATATTTATATAAAAGATACAGTTATTGGCTGTGATCATAACTAAAGTCTCAGATAATATAATTCAAGCAAATGTCAACTGAAAGATGGTCTGACATATTAACAGAATTTTGCTCACCAGCAAAATTACTACATCATTTACTAGAAACTCCTTCCTTTTAATTAGTTTTTAAATTGTAAATTTCCATAATGACCATTCATTTGCAAAAAAAAATATGGATCTTGAATAATAATAAGTTCTGTAATACATTCTTGCCTTCAGTAATTAAATTCTAACCCAGCAAAAATTAATTGGGCTTAAAAGGGAACATCATAGAATTTAATGTTTTTAAAACACATAAAAGAAATGTAATGATGTTAAAATTTATCTTTGAGATTTACTTAGAAAATACACAAATATCAGATTATAACCCATCCATAGGAAAATCAGGGTTTTACATTTAGCTTATATAGTAAACATGAATTTTATTAAATCACTTTTAGAAAACATTTTGATAATCAACTAACAAATAACAAATTAACTCCCAGATTTTAGTTTCTTAAAGTCATAGAAATTAGTTTCTTCTGCATAGTCTGAGGCTAGTATAGGTGACTTTCCACCATCTGGTGATTCTTGGCCTTAGGGTTCTGAGTCTAATTCTGGAGTCAGACAAGCGAATGAAGTTATATAGGGCACATTAATACCAATTCTACAAACTAAAGTTATCTTATTTGCTGGTTCTCAGAGTCCCTATATTATCCTACCAGGTTTTCAGACAAGTTCTAAGACATAACATCGTGATGGAGTTTCAGCTCCTGTAACATTTTTGAGAGCAGTAGGGGACAAGTCTGCCCCCTGAGCTAGGCAGCTTGAGCTGGTACTGAGGCAGTTGGCCTGCCAGTAACTTTCATCGCAGACCTTAGCCCAGGGAAATATTTAATTTCATATGTCTGGGTTGTTTTCCCATGTTACCGAAAGAATGAAAAACCAAAAGCTTCTTGCCTTGGGTTCTTTGTCCAGACTAGTAACTGTAACATTAGACTCAATCCCCTTTTGACTTTACTGCCTCATCTTTGACTCCTATTTCTCTGAATTGGAATTTACCCATCTGTGAAAGACATGACATGACCAGTAAAATACAAAACAGATTTACTGCAGAAAGACTAGAGACTAAGTTCACAATTTCTAGATGTAGAAAAATAAAAGGAGAGACTAGAGACGGTCAAGGTTGCATGGTAAAGTATTTTTCAAACATGATTTTAAATGGTCAAATTCTCCTTTTTACTTTTACACAATTTGAAAGGAAGTAAAGGGAAATAGAAATAAAGGAACCAGGAAAAAAGTGAACTTAGAGCAAAAATTGAGAAGAAAAAAATTTGAGTCTTACATTAGATATGGTTGAGTTACTTTACTTGGAAATTTCAGTTTTATTGAGTTAAAGGATTAACTAATGAGGAATAATTGAATTTATTTAAAATTGAGTTCCTTTGTAATTAAGTTAATTTAAGGTTCTCTTTATATATTCCTTAAAAGGTTAGGATAATAGAGTTCAATCATGGTTGTACTGTTCAGTATGGTAACAATTAGTCACATGTAGCATTTAAATTTAAATTGCTTAAAATTAGGTAAAATTTAAGACATAAATCCTCAGTAGCATTAGCCACCTTTCAAGTGTTTAATATCTACATATGGCTAGTGGCTATTTTGTTGAACAGCCAAGAGAGATCATTTCCATAGTTGCTGAAATTCCAGTTGGACTGGTATATTTAAAAACAGTATGGGCTCTCAATTTAGACAAACCTCAGTTTATATCTTCAGAGGATGACATTTACTTATAAACAGACTCATTTATCTGAGCCACTATTTCCAGGTTCAATGTAGGGGTAAAGTTTTCTGTTTCTTGTCAATATTGTTAGTATTATATGTTCTAACAGTCTTAGGTCAGGAAAGCCCAGTCTGGGAAGGGTTTTATGCAATTTTATGAGAGAGGTGGAGGCACAGGCTCGGGAATCAAAACGGCCTGGGTTTGAATCCTAGTTCTACTACTTACTAGGCATGTAATTGAGCAGTCGACTTAATTTTCTTAACATCATGTATTTTAATCAGGATAACAGCATAAACTTCATGGGATATTGTAAGAATTAAAGAATGATCTGAGAAAACACAAGCACAGTATTTTGCATAGTGTATGATATCCATTAAATTTCAATAGTTGCAAACTAGTAAGTGACATTACCTCTCATACCCAAGGCAAATGTGTGTGCTACAACATAACCTCCAAATGTCCATTAATCTAAACACAGCAATTATAAAATTCTTTCAAATACCAAAGTAACAACAGTAGTAACAATTGTCACTGATGTTATTAAGGAGTGAGATAGTCCATTAAAATCAGCTGTGACTAAAATAAGGTCTTTTCTCAACATTTTACTGATCATCAATTTACATAATGATTTTAATCTCATAAATTGCCTTTACCTAAGTGAGAAAAAATAATAAATTTTAAAATAAGTTGAATATCGTAAAATTTTGTTACTTATTCCAGTTTTATATAAACATTTTTTGCCACATATTAAAACCTCTTCAAAGTAGGTTTTGAAATGGTGCAAGAGTAGAATTATTTTATTTTCAGACACTTCCATGCCTGCATAGGTTTACTCCAGAGAAAGTCCTTCAGTGGATTTAAATTTTGTTTAGAAAAGACTTGAAAAGAAAGATTTTCATGTGTTGGTTGGTTTATAGCTTTATCACCATGATTTTCATAACTGAGATTCTTTAAAGAAAGCATTTAAACTTTGCATTTTCATATTCTCATTTCAGTCAAATAAATTTTTTATACTATATGTGCTTTATTAATGAAATTGAGGAGTGTCTTTTGTGTATACACATATGGCTTGGCTCAATGAACTATGTAAACTATAAGAGAGTCTGAAGATAAAATAGCGAATATCTCTTTAATAAAAAAATCTTCATACTTTTATGTTTTACATAGAAAGAATATTTAAAATGGAAGATAAAATCAGTTATAAAATATAGAAGAGTTTTACTAAGAAGACAGCAGACTTACAGGATCCTTGAGTCACTGCTTCCTCTAGGGACACTAAGTGTTGATATGCATCAGGAAGGAGCAGCTGTATCTAGAAGGGAGCTGGTGACATGAGGACTGGAGTCTCAGAGGGAGGAGAGATAGAAACCATCAGAAAGAGTAGGAAAGACAGAAAGAGTAAGTGACATATGATGGCACCTCTCCAGGAGGGGTACCTGCCTTTCCCTACTGAGCCCCCAGTGATTTATCACGTGTTAATTCATTAAGCAAATGAATAAAATAAAAACTCTCTAAAATTCTCTGGTTATTACATTGGTCATTTCTATATATTGCTTTATATTTTTCCTTGAACCATAAATAATATAAAATAGTAGTAATCGAGTAAATAATAAAATATAGAAGTCTTACTAGAAAATATCCTCTATCTAGATTACAGAAGTCAGAGACTCAGCTAAATATTCTAAAAAGCAGAGTACAAACCTCAACAACAATAATCTGGTCCAAAATATCTGGAATACTGAGGCTGAGAAACCTTGCTCTCAGCTTATTTCCTGCGAAAATAGGTCATAGATTTAAGGAAGTTCTTGTGGAATTTCAGATGACTACCTAAATCTATAAACTTGTTTTAAAAATTTGCGAGAAGACAGATTGTTATTTCCTAAATGTCATAACTTTGAATGAGATGTGAAGCAATTCTGAAGGGTATATTTCACTCAGGTTGGGGGAGAGGGAAGACAAACCTCACTGTCACATTTGTATTCCAGGAACCTCCAGCCAATCTGATAACCTTCTCACAGGAGTCAGACTTCAGACTGCCTGCTCATGGACTTGCACAAGGTTAAGTGCCTACATTTCATGATATTCATTGGCCAAATGACAACAATGACAGTAAATCTGCACTGACATCCTACGGCAGCAACAAAACAGGAAAGGAAGGAAGGCGCTTTCCAAGGGCAAGAACAATACAGAAAATATCCTTTTATAGTCTTCATGTAAGTCCATAACTTTTTTGTTACTCACTGATACTGTTCATTGTTGAGTTAAACTGGCCTTCTGCAGCAATATCTGAAAAAGTTAAGCCCAGACCAATGATTGATTTGGTTTCTTGATAATTAATGCTACAAATAATTTTTCACTTCTAAAATTTTGTTTTGCTCTCAACAGAATAGAGCAAGACTCTGTTGGTCTCAATGCAGAGCTATTGCTGAGAATATAAAGAGAAATGTTCACGGGCGTATACTCAGACTTGGCTAGCTGGAGAGGCACACATGCGTGTGTGTGTGTGTGTGTGTGTGTGTGTGTGTGTGTGTGTGTTGGAATGGTGGGGAAAGAGTATCTAGAAAACAATCAAAGGCAATGTTTGCACATCTTGATGCCATTCATATCATTAAATAAATAACAGGGATTACACATGAACAGTGTGGGTAATTATGCCCCCTTGAAAGTCTGCACTGTTTCATTATTCAGAGTCTACCTCTATCACTGTGATTATTCCTTCCCCGCCACCTTCCAGGGAAGTCTTTCTTCTGTTTTCTCATGTGGATATTTCTGTCTTGGTCCTCCTCACCTCATCCTGTTTTCTATTTCAGGATTTCATCTACTCTGATAGCTTCAGTTATTGCGTCCCTGCCAGTAACTTTCAAGTCTTCCCCTCCATTTTTCACCTACCTCAGGAGCATTTATTCTTCACTTTTAGAAGCTATGGATATATCTATTTGGAAATCTTGGTTCCTTAAACTGCATATTTCTGAAACTCAATTCATGGTTTCCTCCTATGTGAGCCATTTTCACTGATCCCCATGTCATCCAGTCTATTAGGTGAAACAAAAATGTGAAAGTCACCTTGGCCCATCCCTAATGCACAATTCCCAATGAACAATAATTTTGCCTCCAAAATATTTCTTGAACATGCTCATTTCTCTACTGACCCTTACCACCACATTATGTGGTACCACCTCATCCTCTGATTACAGTACTTTCATGTGTAAGAATTTCCTGTTTCATCTATAAAATCCATAGAATCTGCTTGTTCTTAGGGTAAAGACCCTTTAACGTTAAAGTACAAAGAACTGCTTGGTTTAACTTTTTCTTGCCTATCTTGTCTTGGATCATGTATCCTGCATCTCTCTCTCTCTCTCTTTCTCTCTCCCTCTCTCTCTCTCTCTCTCCTTCCCTCTCCTCCCTCCCCCCCCCTTTTTCTCTCACTTCCCAATCCTCTTTTCTATTTCAATACACTACCTCACCTTCAGATTTTAGATTGAATCATTTTCATAAGAGACACACTCTTCTAGAAGCATTGAAAGCATACCTTTCACAATCACCTCAGGTAAAACACACCTGCAGTGCTTGCAGGTTCTCCTCATCAATGCTTCAATTTTCTAGCTGCAGTAACTGTTTTAGGAATGGATTAATGATCAAGCCAAGCTTATCAAAGTCTGTCCTGGGTGTTTCCTAAACTATAGAAGAGACACTTTTCACAGGAAGAATAAGCTGTGAGAATGAGGAAAGCTTAGAACTGCTAGTGGCTAGCTTGCTATCACATGAGAAGAACTTGCTTACTAATTGGACCTATTGCAGAGCCAACAAGATGGAGGTTTGAGCCACTGGAAACCCAGCTGGACCTGAATACTAAGCATCATTCACAAACCCTTATTGTACAATTACAATCCTTTTTTTTAATTTATTTTCTATACTGACATATCTCCTTTTGTACATAAAAGATAATAAATATTCATTAATATTGAAATGTCAGTGTCTAATGATAATAACATAACTTGATTTAAAATTAAGCAATCAGTGTAGCTATTTAACACAGACAAGGAATTTCAAAACCTGTTCTTCCTATTATCACTTTAAAGGACTTAGTTATGTGATAATAATAGTTTCAACAAAATTTTTGATCTATTAAAACTTTGAGAAAGGAATAATTTGCTTTACTTAAAATGTAACACCACTCTCTTCCCACACCCACCCCCATTTGTTTTCATAGTTTGATAGATGGACAAATATTTTGATGTGATGTTCTCCTAATGGTTTCATTTGGCTTTCTCATTAGTTTTTTAATTTTTTTAAAAGATTTATTTATTTATGCATACAGGAGCTGGGGTACAGGACAGAAGTATGGGGATTGAGAGGATTCACCAGAGACAGAGTGGGGAACAGAACAGGCAGATTGACCGAAGCACACTGCTGAGGGGAGCAGCGGGTGAGTCAGGAGAGGTCTGCTGTGCCATGTGGGTCACCTCCCTGGCCAGCTGGGCATTGAACCCCTGCTACAGGGTCTGTGGACAGCTTCACAGGTTGCATCTCAACCCCTTGAGCCACAAGGGAGGGAGGCCCCCTCATTAGTTTTTAAAGTTTACCATCACATTTACCTTCTCTCTTGCCCTTAAAACCTCTTGAAGTCCACCTCACTTATAGTGAGGACCAATTCACCAGACTTAAGACTGGTGAAAGATTCAGTTAAAGTGATATGACTTGATATAATCAGTGTAACTATACTTAGTTGTTCTAAATATTCTGCTACTGTAAACCTAGTTGATACATATTGAGAGTGAGATAATTAAAAGTACAAGTCTTCTGCTGTGTAGGGGATGGAATAGGATTTTCACTACCCCTAATTTTATTGGGATAAGAATGGAAAATCTGGGGCCTCCCCAGTGGCGCAGCGGTTGAGTGCTGGGTTGCGAAGCTGTCCACAGCCTCTGCAGTGCCAGTTTGATCCCCAGCCATGGGTGAGGGTCCCACATGGCCCGCAGACCTCTCCTGACGGCCGCTGCTCCCCTCAGCAGTGTATTTTGTCAGTCTGCCTGTTCTGTTCCCCGCTCTGACTCTGGTGAATTCTCTCACCCTCCTGCACTTCTGACTGTACGCTGTGCTTGTATAAATAAATAAATAGATCTTTAAAAAAAAAAAAGAATGGAAAATCTGAATTCTACATCTAGCTGTGAATATAATGGCCATCATCTTGGTGTCACTTTTCTTCTTTCTGAACTTATAATTTCCTTTTTGGTTTTCAGAGGGAACTATCTTAAGGACAGATGTGAGGAATTTTTAGCGCCATACGGAAACTTTATTTGCAAGTGTCCATCCTTAAGGTCTATAAATATTCCTATTTTACCTATCATAATCTCTATACTTCTAACTTATTTACATAAGAAATTAAAATTCTGGTTTCTGGCCATGAACAGGGTGGTTTCTATTGATCCCCAAGAACCAGCAGTGGCTATAGTTAACTGTAATCATTGCATAGCTCATTTCTTCTACTTGCTGTGCCTTTCCTGTTCACCAAAAAATTTTAAGTGCAGTTCTATTTACAACCTTTCCTGTTCTAAACTGATCTTTCTTTGTTTTTTTTTTATATTTTGGAATATTAATTAATGAAATTTACACTGATTTGAAGCAGTTCCTTTCAGTCTCAGTATCCTTCCTTTTTTGTGTGATTTAGATTAAGCTAGTATTTATTAAATACTTATTTTTATACATTGTCTTTAATGACTATGCTTGCCTCTTTTTCTATTTTTAATGCAGACCTTATGAAACAGATATATTAACGTCCTTTTGAAATTCCATCCATTCCATCTCAGACTTCAAGAAACATTTTTGTTTCCAGGGATAACTTTTCTTAGCTAGTTAAATACTGCATATTAAAAGCTGCTATTTATTTCAAAAAATACACACACCTAAGATATGCAGAATAAGTATATTCTCCTCAAATCCTTGTTTAAGTATATCCTTTAAATTACATGTGATATATAAGGTTATTATAAATTTTTTTCTTCTCTTGAATTTCTATTCCTCATTAAAGCTTAACCTTTGATAACATGCAAGAAAAATATAGAGGCATTCCTAATAGGCTTACCTTTTTTAGGCATTAGCTAAATGTCATCTGATATCTTGTGTTATATAAATGTTGAATTTAACCAGAAAGAAAAATTATCTGGAGTGGGTTTGAAGCTTCTTCCTTGATCCTGATGAAGAGGTCCTTTATAGTATACTTAAAAACTTTCTTGGATTTGGGCCTGCTGTGTGGCAAATGATCTAATCTATAAATAGAGTTTAGGGGTGTGTGTATGTGTATGCATATTTTAACTGATTGATGGTGAAAAGTTACAGTTAATAACTTTTTGCAATCAACAAGATAGATGAAAATAGCTGAGTACCATTTGGTTAAAATATATTGAGATGAAATAAATAAATGAGCTGATAGACCACAATTAATGGTACAGAGGTGTGCCTTAAATTTAGAGACTGTAGGGGCCTCCCGGTGGCGCAGCGGTTGAGCGCTGGGTTGCGAAGCTGCGCGCGGCTCTGCGGTGCGGTGTTCGATCCCCGGCTGCTCCCGGCCACCGGAGGAGGGTCCCACATGAATCTCCTGCGCCCGCTGCTCCCTCAGCAGTGTCCTTCGGTCCTTCCTGCTCTGCTCCCCGCTTGCTCTGGTGAATTCTCTCACCCTCCGCGCTTCTGACTGTACCCAGTGCATGTATAAACAAAACAAACAAACAAACAGCAAACAAATAAATAAAGCATGCTCTATAAAAAAAAAAAAAAAAAAAAAAAAAAATTTAGAGACTGTAAAATGACCAAGTCCAACTATACTCTGTAATGAGACAATATATATACAACAGGATTTATATTTGAGAACTATATTTTTTGTACTTAATTTTATAGGAGTTTATATCTTTCTTTCACTGGACATATGGCCTTTGTATGCTTCCTATGTGCATGCCCCCCACAACCTGTAATCCCATCTCCAAACATCTATTTTATTCCTTCAACATGTATTTTCTTCCTTCAACATTCCTGAAGGTCTAGCTTAACTTTCCCCATCAGGCATTACCTTACCTCTCTTGCTGAAGTCAAGCACCCATTTCTTTCTTACTTTTATAGTAACTACATGTCTACACCATGTACTAGGAGCACCCAATTCACAGTGTGAATGGTCAGCTCTACATAATAAATGTAATCATGTTCCTTTTCTGCCATGTATAGGGCTGAATTTGCATATGTAATCTTGAGTCCATAATGACATTTATTTCCTGAAATACTAGACTCTGAAAGTCGTGATATCTTTCTGTCAATATCCACAGGAAATGCTTTCTTCAGGTGCGTTATAGCCATGAACAGAAGATCAGATCTCCATGTCAGAAATTAGAAAAGCTTGCTTGAAAGCTGGATGAGCCATGGCAGCATCTCAGACAGTTTGTTATTTTTAGCTCTGCCAAGAAATAGCTAATTTCATGCAAGAATTACCCTGCACCTGACCCAAAGCAAAGACTCTCTGGCTATTCTTTATCTACATTGATGCACAGTAAAATGGCTTAAAGCTTTAAAAACCAAGTAAGGAAGAACATGGAAAAAAAAGAAGAGACTGGTACGATATGAAGTGTTTCTCTTTTTTGCTTCTTTCTTTCTTTTTAGTAGATTGAGTTATACCTGGGGAGAAAAGACAGAAATGAGATTTAACAATTAGGAAAAACTGAAGTGGTTTTTTTACCCCCCAAAATTGAACATGAATATAAGCAAAATTAACATGTTTGTCAATGCTTCCTTATAAAATTTACTAACTTAAGCAGGTAGTAGTTAGCACCCGAGCGCTCTCTCTCTCTCTCTCTCTCTCTCTCTCTTTCTCGTTGACATTCAACTCAAACAATCCCCTCATTTATCTTTTTATGTACATTTTAAAAAAATCAATGTTCACAATTTTGACTGCCTCCTCAGCAATCTTCTCATGACCTGTGAAAATAAAATGGAAAATTGAAAAAAGGTCATTCAGAAAGCAGACATAGGGGAAGAGTAGGGAATCGATTATATCTATCACTTCAGTCTCTTCTCTGAGGATGCCTCCCAAAATGCCACCTTTCATATTCATTTTTTTTTTACCTTCAGATGCAACTATGTAGCTTGTAAGACAGATTTTGCTCTTTATTTCATAGGTAAGTATTATTCATGTGAATATTTCTTTTCATTACAATGGAAAATACATGCTGCAGTGTCTCTGGACTGAGTCTTTGCCTCTCTCTGTCATGTTTGGTGGTAATGAAATTATATTTAAAACATACATCTGTTTTTTTTTCACTAATCCCAAAGATTAAATAGAAATATGAAGCTTTCTTGATTAATATAGAAAATACATTCTCCTTGTAGACAGCTAAAACAAAGCCAGTTGTGACAGAATAAAAAAAAGAATGTATATAAATGGACCAAGTGACTTCCTGCTGGGGATCTGTTTGATGAGGTGGAGGGGGCGACTGTGGTGCGTATAATCAAGGCCGTCAACCCACCCTAAGATGACACGTCACAAAATCCAACCCAATAAAATATGCTATTAGCCTAGAGTAAAATAGAACTATTTGGGAAGATAGCTCATTGACCTCATGTGCCTGTGCAGATAAGAAAATATGTCATCTTTTATTCTAGTTGGCAATTGAAGTATGGAGGAAGAGGGAAAGAAAGAAGAGAAAGAAGTGTGTATAGAAAACTTGAACACAATGTGAGTAGGATCTGACTTTAAAGAATACAGAGAGTTAGACAACAGAGTCCTAGAAACTTGAGACCGGTTAAGTAAAGCAGACTTGGTCAGGGTCACACAATGGAAAGCACGTGAGTATATGTGTGCGTGTATACACACACAAATGTAAATGTATATCTATGTGTGAGAAAGGGGTGCTAAAGGTGTAAACCACTGAAAACTACCAAATGATCCCTGTCATACAGAGGTCCAGTCCTGGAGGAAAACATAGGCAGTCTAGTTTAAAAATGGCAAAAATCTGATAAAATGTGTATTGGGAGATGCTCACAGTTATAGAAACAAGAGTTTTGGGGGACTTAATGTTGTTGGTTATTTTTTTCAGTTGATGCTTTGATTATGACTGTGAGTCTTGAACATGCAGCATGTACAGCCTGCCAGCCAATATATAACCTTTGTCATAGATTAAAAACTACAGTAATATATTGTCAAGTATATGTAGCCCAGAAAGTTGCCCTTGGTGTGTCTGTGTCTTATAAGTTCACTTTCTTTTCTAGATTATGACTGCCAAGGATGGGCACACACAAAATTAGAGGTAAGAATATACAAATGGATAAAAAGCCAATCAATCTCTTGGATTTTTTTTTTTTTACTTCTTTTGTAATATGGAACAACACATACATTTACAAATACTATAATGAATGTAATCATTCTATTTATTTACTGTTTCATTATTTTGTAAAATAAAATGTTACCTTGAACATTTAAATCAATGCTTTATTAATATGAGAAAATGCCTTATTTCCTATTTCACTTTGGCTACTGGAAAATTTGCTGCAAAAGAAAACAGTATTTAAATATATCTAATTACCTATATATTCTACATTAAAGTATACTTAATGATATAAAAAGCTATATATAAGTGTAAATTTTATATAAGCATATGTACACATCCATAACCATCTGGAATAATTTCTTTGGGGGGGTGGATTTTTATTACATGAATTTCCTGGTGGGCTGAAGCATCTTAACAATCCATGTTAAAAAAGACATCTCTCTTGTCTTTTGTACATACTATTTCTTCCTTCCTGGCTCATGTTGTGCCTCACAGTTGATCATATGAAATACTCTCTCAAAAACCTTGATTTCTTTCATCTGTTTATTCCTGCAACTTTGGTTCAATCGGATCACAAACCTATTTCCAAGCTATAGTCTTTCCTTCCCTAGTGCCCTGCTGGAGAAATTTATCAACCCTTCCTGGCTGGAGTCAGGACTGATTCATGATCTCCAATCTCCATTATGCCCTGAGAATAGATTTTCAGTTTTTTTCTTAGCCTTTTTTTCCTTCAACACAAATTTTTTATCATTATCTTCATGTTCCCATTTGAGAAGATACTTTTCTCTACTACTTCATCTGGTAGATGAAGCAAGCTATCAAACATGACTACCCTCAACCTCTTTCACTTTGTAAACATTTATTTATAATAGATTTCTGTATAGCACACACATACTTTAATAAGCATTATTATCCATGTATTTCCATGTCTCCAGTTCTTTTTTATTCTCAGGGGTCTCCTTTCTCCCGTTCTCATAGGAGATGCTTTTTATTCTTTTTTTATTCTTTTTTTTCCCAAATATTTATCTATGCACACAATTGTTGGGACAGGCCTGAGGTGTGGGAGGGTGAGAGGATTCACCAGAGACAGAGCAGGGAGCAGAACAGGCAGACTGACTGAAATACACTACTGAGGGGAGCGGGTGAGCCAGGAGAGGTCCACTGCACCACATGGGTAGCTCCCTGGCCAGCCAGGAATCAATCTCATGCTGCAGAGGGTGCAGACAGTTTCACAGTGCTGTGTCCAATCCCCTGTGCCACCAGGGTGTCCCTCTTTTTTTTTTCCTTCCTAATTTAACACTTAACAAATATACTTATGTTTAAATTTCTCCCATTCTAAAATTTTTCCCTCCCTCGCCCCCATTTGATTCTGCATTTATCAACAGAAACTGTAAGTATAAATACTAAATTCTCTTCTCCATCCTTGTACAGATTTCTTAAAAGACTAATCTCCACTTCTCATTTCCTTATTTCCCATTCTTTGTAATTCATTCTTCAGTTGATACTGTTCCTGCTTAGGTCACAAATGATCTCTCAATAGCTAACTCCAAAACTTCAATGAATGTTTTGTAATCTTTTTTTTTTTTTAATTGACCCCAGTTCTGCATTTGAAACTGTTGTCCACTCCACGGAAATACTATACTCTCCTGGTTTCTATGTGATCTTCTATTCTATCCTCTATCTTTTTGTGATTTCTTTCTCCTCTGCTTTTCTCTGAGTTCAACTTTGAGGGTTCAACTTACAGTTCATGCTCTTTTTATTTCATGTATCTCCCCTTATGATTTCATTATTTCCAGGTTCTACTTGCTTTTCAATGTTCCCAATTCTATGATCTTACATATCCAATCATCTAGTTAAAATATTCTCTACTTGTTCCACAGTTACCTCAAATTTTTAATTTTTAAAAGTGAATTCCGGGCCTCCCTGGTGGCACAAGTACAGTACTATGAAGCTGTCTGCAGCCTCTGTAGCAGGAGTTCAATTGCTGGCCGGCCAGGGAGCAACCCATGGTGCAGCTGACCTCTCCTGACTCACCCGCTGCTCCCCTCAGCAGTGTACTTCGGTTGATCTGCCTGTTCTGCTCCCCACTCTGTCTCTGGTGAATCCTCTCACAACCCGCATCTCTTCCCTGTGCCCCAGCTCTTGTATGCATAAATAAATAAATCTTTTTTTAAAAAAGTGAATTCATTCCCCCTTTCCACTAAATAGATTGTTCTTTGATATTCTCTGTGCTAGTTTTTGAGGCTGTCTTTTACCAAGTCATTAGAATGAGAATATTGGCCATCATTCTTGACCTCTCATCCTCTGCATGTTTCATATTCCTGCAATTATCAGTGATGGCTAAATTAACTAATCCGGCTCTCAGCTTCAGATGGTAATTAGGATCACCTGGGGAGCTTAAATGCTATCATAGATCAATCAAAACAGCATCTCTGGGAGTGCACTTTTTCCAATATTTCTCAAATATGTCATTTATTTTTTACTACCACTGTTCCATTTTCAGTCCTCATCATCATTTATTACACATGTCCTAACTGGCCACCTGCCTTTAAAATGCCTCTCCCTAACCTATTATCAACCTGACCAGCAGAGTGACCTTTCTCAAATATAAATATTATAGTATCACGTCTCTTGCTCTTCTAATTCTATATACTCTCCATAATTTAAAATCCAATAGCTACATATCAAAAAAAGGGATCAAATTCAAGTTCTTTAATTTGACACATCAGGTATTATTTTAATTTACTTGTCACTTGCCATTTTTTACTTTTTATTTACCCTTCTGCTTCCCACAAGATGGACCTGGCTTTTTCCCTGTGAATACTGCATACATAGCTGTTTTCTTTCTCTTATGCCCTTGCTTATGAGGGCTTCTCTGGTTAGAACTAGTGTTTCATGATTAAATGTTAATCTAATTTATTTTACAAGTCTCAACTTACTAGCCAGTTTTTCTAAGCTGGGTTAGGTGCCTTTCTTGAGCTTTTCATATTGATATTTTCCTACAGAAATTATTGCTTTTACCACTTGAATTTATAGTGTTATCTTTATATTTCTGGGCTCTCTTTGGAAACAAAGACTAGTGCTTAATTACCTTTGTATTCCACAGCATTTAGCATAATTCTTGGTGTATATTAGATGCTCTAAAAATATTTATTGAATGAATGGGTGAATTAGCTGTCAGAAATCATACTTGATCTAATAGATGTCTTGTCCTGAAATGCTGAACACACCTAAAATAGAAAAGGGTAGTTTTATATGTTGGGGGTGGGAAATTTGTAATTTAAAAGAGAAGATTTTTTTTGTAGGTATACAATATATTAGATCTTTATTAACATTATTAATGTAAATCCTGTGGGTAATTTGCTTCTGATTTATACATTCATTTTGAAAATTTCTGGTCTTTCTGACTTCTTAAGAACAAAAGTGAAAATATAATTGATCTACATTAATATGTATCTGATTTGTAGTTACATTTCTCACATAATTACATGGTTTTTATACCACATATTAATCTCATAAATTTGGGTTTATTACCTATATTTTTAGAATTCAATAATCCCCGGTAAACTAGCCAATTTTCAGATATGCCAAGGTAAGTGATATGATCACTGCCAAGATTCCCTTTAGCTTTTAAATTATGCATATATATATATATATATACACATAAAGATTGGAGTTTTTTTAAAGATTTGTTTATTTATGCATACAGGAACTGGGGTACAGACCAGAGGTGTGGGGGGTGAGAGGATTCATCAGAGACAGAGTGGGGAACAGAACAGTCAGATTGACTGAAATACTCTGCTGAGGGGAGCAGCAGGCGAGTCAGGAGAGGTCTGCTGCGCCATGTGGGTAGCTCCCTGCCTGGGGATCGAACTTGTGCTGCAATAGCTGAGGATAACTTCATAGGTTGCGCCCTAGCCCCTTGTGCCACCAGGGAGGCCCAGCATTTATATTTTAAAGGAAAAATATACACTATTACAAACCAATATTACTTAAACTAAAAACATTAAGTTACATTGGAGAGCAGTAAAAAAAAAAGGAAATGAAAATTCAGTGCTATAATGTAGTATAAATCAAACTGCATAGAGATTGTAGCAAAATCAATGTGATAAATTTTATCAAATTTTGCATTCTTCACACAAACTCTTACGGACAAGAAAATTATATTTTTCTGAAATAAAAATATTAGGGGAACATAGAAATATTTAGGAAATATGAAGAATGCAATGGTGGTGCAAAGGAATATTGAATTGAGACAAAGCATTCCAAGTTTTACAATCACTATATTTAACACTGATGAAATTTTTTTTTTTTATTACAAAGAATAATGCCAAATAAATCATTATCTGATCTTGGATTAATAGTTTGGGAAAGAAGATAACAAGGAAGTAATTTTGAATTTTTTTTTAAGACGTGGAACTGTTTAATCTGAAACTTTAGAATGGAAATGTATTAAGGAAATTACTTGCTTACCTTTGTCCAGTCTTCACTAGTGATATTGTCTAAAGTGAATGAAAAAATCATTTTGAATATTCTGAATGAAAAATCTAAGTATTTGTTCAAAATAGCTGTCTTTTTAAAAAATTCCCTGTGTTTCAATACAGGACTATAATCTGCATTTTCCCAAATGACACCAGTCTGTGAGTATAAATATTAATGTTCAAGTGACAAAGGTTTATAGCTCCCTCTAAAAATATCTCACTACCTCTACTACAAAGTTCCCAGTCTTTTCTGGAGCCCCCAGTGGGTCTCATATATGGTCTTAATCAGTTTGTTCCCATTATTCATCTACTGGCTGTTGCAGTGCTTGTGAGACTCTTAGGTAAGAGTCTTCCCCTTCTGCCTTATGCCGGAATCTCTCAGGAGAACACTCCTCTCCTATAAAGATTCCATTCACAAGTTCTCCCTAGGTTACAAATCACCATGCTGCCCATGGATACGGATTTCACACTAAAGTGCGCTGTATGGGAGACTTAGTTGTCCTACACAGAGAGTATTTCTAGTCAACTCTATCTCCTATGAAAACATTACTGTTTGCTCCTATTTATACACCTCAGCATGTAGTCCTTTATTGTGCTCAATCTCTTATGTCTCCATGAGAGGCACCAGGGGTAGTTTTGCCAAACAAGTCTTTATTCCCTCCTGCACATCAATTCATGCTAATAGTTTACAGGAAGGGCTATTGTCTCATAAGCTCATCAGCCATATCCAAACCCTGATTCCTAGTTTGGGCTCAAATGAAAATCCTACTATATCAGAACTTAACTTGGACTCTAGGTGGTTTTGGTAAAATAGTTGAAAATTGAAAGGTCCATGCAGAGGCTCTCTCTCTCAGTGTATTAATTCTGCTACTCCAGGCCCACGTATCCAAGTCCTCGCGGTCCCACAGTTAGCTCTGTACAGACGATCTGAGCTAGGTTAGTTATTCTCACCACATTGGACTAAGTGGGCAGCCTTTCTTCCAATCATGGTTGGAATCAGCCTGGCATCATCGATAGCAGCTGCAAGTATGGCAGGTGGGGCCCTGGGACACAGCCTGATTTCTGCCCAGGAATTTTATGAACAAATTGATACCTCCTTAGAAAAAACCTATGTGTCTTCAACATCATTAAAAAGACAGCTCACCTCACCGGCACAGGTCACTCTCCAAAACCGGCGGGCTCTGGACTTGTTAACAGCTAATAAAGGGGGTACCTGCCTGTTCCTCAGGGAAGAATGTTATTACTAGTGAAACCGGGGACTCCAACTCTCCGCTGACATGGTTTCAAAATCCTATAGTGTCATGGCTCCTCCCACTCTTGGGGCCAATACTAATGATAACCTTATTTTTTTTCTTTTCGTTCCTTGCCTCCTAAAATTCATACAGGCTCGCATTCGGGAAATGTCTCCTACCACCTTTAACCAACTCCTTCTCCACCCATATTCTCACATCCCTGCAGAAGACCCTCATAACCAGGCCTGAGCCACCCCCTTGATCTTCGCCCCTTTTCAGCAGGAAGTAACCAAAGAAAGAACCATCGCCCCTTTTCCTATCAACAAAAGGCTGGTATGAAAGGTCCATGCAGCAGGCCAGAATGCAAAAGCCTACCCAGAAGCCCACCTGGGGGGCAGGAATGAGGATACCTGCCTGGAGGACTCAGACAATGAGCCTCCCCCCTCCCCCTACGAGTCTCATCTCAGACAAAGAACCTCTACCTGCCCTACAAACTTTTCCTGCCATACAAGCCCAACTACCCACCTGACCTCTCCTCGCCCTATAAAACCCTGCTTCCCCCTAACAACGTGCTCGACTCCACTGACCCCCGCCTTGGGTCTGTGAGGTCCGCCCGGGGCGCAATAAACTTTCCCTCCCTTTGAGAAATGTAGCCTGGCTCTCCTTTTCTTTACCGCGCCGAACCTTTCAAAAATGAAGCTATAATTTCTTGATATAACGTGTGCATGTGTGTGTGTACATGTGTGTGTGTAACTGTTACAGGGCAACTCCGATATAAAACGGGTTGCCTGACTGTGGGTCCTCACCTACGCGATTAAAGGGGACTTAAACTGCAGACACACATTAAGATTAACAAAGGTTTATTTACAAGGGAATTGTACAACTCAGGGAGAAAAGAGGGAGATAAAGTCTTAAATGCATCCTAACCATTCTGCCGACCTAGAATCCCAAATGACCCACTGAGACCAAAACAAGCTGGCTAAGAGCATGAGCCAAGTGCCCGATACCCCACTAACATGGCTGGTTTTATTTACGAACAGAGAAAATGGCTGCTACTCTGCCCTTAGGTCGTCGCAACTTCCCTTTGGGGATCATGGGATTTGTAGTCCCCAGTGTCTTGATGGAGTGGGGTGGCATCCACAAAGCCTGTATGGAGTTTGCTCAGGACATCCTTTCCCCCTAACATAACCATACGCCACAGATTTTTTAATTTGTATCAGTGTAGTCACCAGTAGGGTAGAGCAGACAGAGAAGAGTCCTTGAGCCCTCAGTGACTTTTTCAGGCTCTTAATGATCTTTCTATGTCATTTGTAGTGAGGCAACCAGGGGCAGAGTAGGCAGGGGGTTGGGGGACTATAAGACTGGCAGGCCTCCCAGTCCCTGGAAAATCTGTATACTTTTCTCTTCAGGTCCTCTCTGGTGTCCTCGTGGTCCTGCCTCTCTGTAGTCATTGGTTCTCTCACAGCCCTTTCGCCATAGCTGTTTTCTGAGTGATGCCACCTTTATAGTCCCAGCCTCCATGCTCAGGTGTACACACTTACACATGCCTACAGCATACTCCAAGTGTCCACAATCAGGCATGCGTACCCCAAGCCCACTTTCCCAAGTGCCTCCTGCATCAGCACAATCAAGGCTACATAAAAACTTGACCATTTCACTTACCCCAGATCATCCCTTTCAGTTGCAAAAGTAATATAGAAGGCATGTCACATGCTGTGACATGTATTTTACTTAATCTACATTTATTTAGAAATGAATATGAGAAATATATTTAGTTACAATGTTCTTTTAAGTCACTGCTTTCTTACATGCTGAAAAATATCTTTATACAGTTTATAATTCTTTTTAAATTTATTTGAAATGTAAGCCAAATAATTTTCCCTTTTGCATTCCTCTCTTAGTAAATGAAGCTACTGTTATTATGAGTAAAGGAGACATACATGGTTGGAGGAGCTATGGAGAGACCAACACATTTGTAAACAAACAAAATGTGAAAACAGGAAACAATGTTTTAATTATTGGTATTTAAAGTAAAAAAGAAACAAAATTAATTCCTAAACCACATGTTTTTCCTGTTTTAATGAAATGAAAAATCTTAACCATCTGAATTTAGGGGTTTAGAATAAAGTATGTTTATAACAACAGCATTCTTGACAGTTACAATCACGGTACCTAAATGATCATTTAGCTAGAAAGAAGTGAGAACAATTAAGAAACATTAATTAGCTAGAGAAAGAAAGGAATATATATTTTAAAGACACAAAATACCACATCTGAGAATACCAGTGTATAAATTGTGTTCAATACTATCAATTGGCAGAAAATTACAAAGTGTGATAATCCAGAGCAATTTTCAATAGCATCTATGGAAGGATTGAAGTTAAATAGAAATAAAGGATACTTGTTTAATCTAGGATCTGTGGAAAGAAGGGTCCTAGCCCAGCAACTTTTTTCTTTTAGGATTAGATAGATGTGAGAGGCATCTCAAGATGGTGGCAGATGTCTTAACTCCTCCCTCGGATATACACCTTTTTATGGAAAACTTTTCCCTACATTGGGCTATGAAAACAAGCTGACAGCTCCACCATAACAAGGAACAAAAGGAACACATCAATAACTCAATAAAAAATCGGTTAAAACATACACAGAGGAATTGAATAGATATTTGTCTAAAGAAGCTGTACAAGAGCAACATGCACATGAAAATATGTTCAGCACCACTAGTAACAGGAAAATGCGAATCAAAACCACAATGAGCTGTTATGTCATCCCTATGAATGACTATTATCAAAAAGATAAATAACAAGTGTTGGAGAAGATATGGAGAAAAAGTGAATCCTTGTGAACTGTGGGCAAGAGTGTAAATTGACGCCATCTCTATGGATAACAATATGGAGGAGTCTCAAAATCTACAAATTGAAGTACCAAATGATATAGCGATTTTACCTTGGGTAGTTACAGAGGAACAAAAGAGATGAATTTAAATATATATATATATATATGTTTATTGGATATACATAGGTTCATTGTAGTATTATTTTTTTTTAAAGATTTATTTATTGCATACAAGAATTCAGCTACAGGCCAGAAGTGTGGGGGGTGAGAGGATTCAACAGAGACAGAGTGGGGAACAGAACAGGCAGACTGACGGAAATACTCTGCTGAGGGGAGCAGCGGGCTAGATAGGAGAGGTCTACTGCATCATGTGCGTAGCTCCCTGACTGGCCAGGGATCGAACTCATGCTGCAGAGGCTGTGGATAGCTTCACAGTGCTGTGCTTAACCCCTTGCACCACCAGGAAGGCCCCATTGTGATATTATTTACATTACAGAAGATGTGGAAACACCTACATGTCCATCTATAGATGAATGGATAAAGAAAATGCAGAGTGCATGTGCACACACACACACATACACACACAGAGAGGAACACTACTCAGTCATGAAAAAGAATGAAATTCTTGCCATTTGTGATAACTAGATTGAAATTTGAGGGTATTACACTAAGTGAAATAATCCAGACACACGTGGAATCTTTAACAGAAAACAGATTGTTGGTTACCAGAGAAGTGGAGTGTTGGTGTGTTGGGTGTGTGTGTGTGTGTGTGTGAGAGAGAGAGAGAGAGATTGAGAGAGAGAGAGGATGGATGAAGGAAATCAAGAAGTACAAATTTCCGGTTACAAAACAAATCACAGATGTAATATACAGCTTGCAAACTAATCAGTAGCATGATGTTGCAAATTTGAAAGTCACTAAGATGGGAAATAGACGTATTGTGATGATCGTTTTGCAATGTATACAAAATCTTATCTGACCATTATGTTGTACGCCTAAAACTAAAATAATGTTGATATCCATCATACTTTAAAAATATGCTAGCCGGATGTGGACTTTTCTAAAGGCATAAGGATGGAGTCACAGAGAGAGTGATTGAAAAACGCAGGGATAGAATGGCAGATACAATAAGGTTTGTGAGATGGAGAGCTATGCAGAGTAAAGGTGACTCAGACAAAATATCAGTCATTTATACAGAAACATACTAAACAAAAAGGTGCGAAGCATATTTTAGCAGTTCCCACGGTCTCCTTCTTTACTCTCCTGGCAAAGTTAGTAGGGACTATTTGACCAGCATTATCAACTACTTGCTTTTCCATCCATTTAGTGTTTGATCTGCAATGCCTACAGAACTAAGAATAAAAGGAAAACTAAGAAATTAGGCAAGTTTTGGTTGGCATTCAGGTGTTAGCCCTAATATACTCTCTAAGAGGTTTATACTTCATCCTACAAGCTTGGTGACTAATGCTCTTTTTTGATAGCCAGCAAGAAGCTTTAGACCTGTTTGGCTGCTGTCCTGGTGTAAGAGTTTGGCAGCCCTAGGGAGATGAAATTCTTCAGTCTTGGATCCGCCCAGAGTAAAGAAGCAACACTCTCCCAGCCACTACCCTGTTGCTATGAAACAAAAGACGAGGAAGGTAAGCGAAGCCGGAAATCCCGCCTTTTAGACCAGTCGGCTTTGGCTCTCGCTCCCAAAGCTCACGCCCACTCCCCACTCCTCATTGGTCATTTCCCCCAGTGCCTCGTAGCCTCTCTTCCATTTCCTTTCCCTTTCCCACTTTGGTTCTCCGGTGAGTCGAACGCCCCTGTTTCCCTCTGAGTCCCTTTACATTCGGGACGTGTGGCGAGCGGGCCTTCCTCAGGGGCCATTGTGTACCGTGGAAGACGTGGACCGGGCGGTAGTGCGAGGAGGACGGGCGCCTCCCGCCCATTGGTGCCTTCCGCTGCCAGTCAGTGCGCGGGCGCGCAGGATTGGCCTAGCTGCGCGCGGCCCCGCCCCGGCCCCGCCCCGCGCCTGTGTCTCTGAGTGTGTATTACCCAGGGGTGGGGTGTCCAGCGAGTGGTCTCCTCCTCCAGCTAGTGCCGCTGCGGCGTCCCGCGGCCTCCCCGAGAGTCGGGCGGGAGGGGAGAGCGGGTGTGGATTGTCCTGACGGTAATTGTTGCGTTTCCCTGTCTCGGTGGTCTGTGCTGTGGGTCGCTCCTTCTTCGGGAGCGCGCTTTTGCCGCCTTTCCACACTCCCTGCCCGGGCTGCCCGCGCCCCCGGGGCTCGTGGCTGTGGAGTAGGACCCCGCGCACACGCGTGTCCCCGGGCAGCTGCGGCCCCGGGAGGCCAGGAGGGTCGGGGGCGCAGGGGAGTCTCGACTCTTTATTTTATTATTATTTTTTTTTCCCTGCACGGGGGTCCGGGGTCAGCCAGGCGCGGGCCACGAAGGAAGAAGGGACAGCCCCGGCTTCCAGCTGCTGTCGCTGCCTCCGTCACATTTTGAAGAGGGGCATTTAAAGACCGGAACCAGGCAGGGCCGGGGGAGGAGAAAGAAAGAGTAAAGGGACACGGGTCGCTAGGATTGCAGATTCAAGGAGGTTCGTCCACTGGGGAGCCGAGTGCTGAGCGCCAGGGACGGACTGGGCTGCGATTGCTGGAGGCGCAAGGGGGATACTTTGTCCTTACTCTGTCCACCTTCCCCCACCCCCATCTGAGAGGTCCGAGAGTGGCTGGGGAGGGGCCTAAGCCAGGAGGGGGTACAGACGTCCCGTCACAAGCTGTGGACACCCCCGCCCCCCTCTGCCACCTACTACCTTCTTGGGTGAAAGGCAAGGCCAGGAGTAAAAGAAGTGAACGCTCTGCTCTCGGTGCCTGCTCTTGTCAGTTTCACCCTCTCTTTAAAATGGGTTGTTTGTTGATTTATTTAGTTCTTAACTTGAGATAACTCCTCAACGCGTTGTCTTGAAAACTGGGCATTCGCATGTCCCTGTACATGTGTTTCTGTTTGGTAGTTTGGGCGTAGAAACCCAAGTCCTAAGCCTTTGTTGACAACAGTCCTGTCCCTTATGCTCGTGTAGAGTAATACTTACGTTTATATAACTTTGCGAAATGTGAGTGAAAATGTGGTTTTTGAGTAAGACTCTCAAAACGTTTTCTAGGTACTTCAGTTCTAGTATTTTGAATTGGGGTTAAGGCAGATAGGGGGGGAATATTGTGTTCTTATCTAGTTGGAGGAAACCCTTGTAAGTTGACTTTGTTGTTGTTGTGAGTTTGGTATTATTCAAGCTTTAGATACTTGGAACTGAGGAGCATACATCTTTAACTCCTAATATTTCAAAAGCAGATCTAGAGTCCGCTTATGAACCTACTGTGTGTAAAGATTGAGAGTGCAAATCACTTGCTGTTGCAAAGTTGAATCTGGGACCCTTAGCTTTTTTTTTCTCACTGGTAGAGGAGGATGTAGTGGGTACAAGTTAACCTGTTTAGTTTTCTGTTGGGGAATAATTTTCATGACCAACTAACTTTTCTTTCTTTTTTTAATCTGCCTTTCAAAGAACTAAGGTTCCAAATGGCAAATTCTATGAATGGCAGAAATCCTGGTGGTCGAGGAGGAAACCCCCGAAAAGGGCGAATTTTGGGTATTATTGATGCAATTCAGGATGCAGTTGGACCCCCTAAGCAAGCAGCAGCAGATCGCAGGACTGTAGAGAAAACTTGGAAACTGATGGACAAAGTGGTAAGTTTTGTCTGACTATGCCTATTGGTAGCCCTATTCATCCAGATATATCATCCAGATTTACTTATGCTATTAATTAATAATAATTATAGTTATGGCAACATTTTTTGAATTGCATATCTATTTTTCTTACATGCACTCTGTTTTGAAATGGTGGATTAACAGCAAGATTTTTTAAAAAATTTAGAAAAAAATTTTTAATTTTTAAAAAATTAAAAAAAAATTTGTTCTGCTCTTTAAATTCAAAGTTCCTCTATATGACTCAGATATGCAAAGTTTCTACTGTTGACTGCTCTTTGTTGGTACATGGCCATAGAATAGTTTGGAAATGTTTGTCCTTTTTATATCAAGTGTCTTGCTATTAGTAGCAAAAGAGTGCTTGCTAACAAGTAATCTGAGAAAAAGTCTGTTGGACCACCAACACAATTGCAGTGTATGATGCTGAAAATATTTACAGGGGAAAGAACAAGTTCTGTCCTTAAGTGAGAAAGCAGTAGTTGAAAGAGTTCCATTTTCATCTTTGAGACTTCATCTTCATTAAGAAACTTTTTGTTGTTAATGGTAGAGTTACAGTTTCTTTGATCTTCTGTTCCATTTTGAAACAGGAAACCTTTTCGATTGCACATTGTTTATTATGAAAGGAAAATTTATGATGGAGGTAGTGGAGCTGAGAGTATCAGAAACCTTTGTGGTTTCTGCATGTTGCTTTCATATGAACTGCAACTTCACAATTAGAAATCAAGCTGACTGAACAGAGAAGTCTGGGCAACCAGAATCTATTCCCAGGGTCTACTGAGGAAACCTATCTTACTAAGGAGAACTATGAAATTAGTATCATGGTGACATATGTAGTTAATGTGTGGTTTCCCCCTAGGGAAATGTTTGTAGCATATTATGGTTTTATTTCCTAGATATTTAGGGCTAATGAAGCTTTATTGATGCAGGGATCTCGACATCTTTATAACTGCAGGATTGGAGATTTAAGAAAATTTCCTTATGTAGGGATATGTTAAAAAAAAAAATCCATGAAATAATTTGGTAGTAGTTATCTTTACTTTACTTTACTTTGTAACTATGTGCAAATATTTGCCACAAAAAGTCACCCTCAGTGGTAATAGCAATGTAGGAAGGTGATAAGATTTATTTTCTTTTCACTTGTAATATGGAAAGTATAGAGAGATAGGTGAACTACTGTCATCCTCTGGTTGATGGTCTGGGGAAAGGCCTGCTACATGCAGAGACAGAATATATTTGCCAGGTAAATATCCTTACTTTTTGGCTTCAGTGTGACCTATTTAAGCTTCTGCCAGTTCATTCAAATTGTTATATTAAAGTACTCCAGACAAAATGATCTCATAGTGTCAGAAGATTGCAACTTGCTGCTTGAGGTCAGGTTTTGATTTTAGCATTGGATACTTAGGAATGAGGAATATGCAGTTAGGAAAATAGTAGCTATGTGGCAGACACAGTACAAGCTATCTTTGCTTTCTGAAGAGTATGTTCTTGAAGGTCACTCTCATTGCCTTAGTCATTAGTTGGGTGTAAAAGAAGCAATTGAAAGTTTTTCTCTGAGTTCTTTGTTATATGTATGGGCCACACATAGGCCAGATTCTACCTGGAACTGTTCTTTCCTCCCCAGCCCCTTTCTTGAGTAGTCAGAATTTGTACATTTGTGAGTGAATGTTAGAATATCAAATGAAAAAGATTTATATAGGGAAGTGGTGAGCCATAGTTAATAAAATGTCATTCTTTTAGAAACATTAAAATATGTGTGCATAATTTTGGTCTGTAACAGATTATTAACATAAGTTTTATCTACTTTTAATTATTTCGCCATGGGTTATGGTAAAATAAATGGTTATTGGTAAGTACATTTCTGCCATTGCTTATTTTATTAACTCTTTTGTGTGTTTGGGCTTAGCTTCTCCAGTGGAGAAACTTGACTCACAAGGATATCTATTATCTATCGTCTCTACTTAGTGGAATTTGGGTGCAGGTATTGGCACGGGCACGTTATAGGGCTTTCCTTATTTGTCTTCATTATTTGTCAAGGATGAAAATTGTGTTCATTTATGAATTTATCTGTGATCTGAGGAAGGACATCACATAAAACATTATAAAAGAGTTCAGTATGTTTATTACTGTTCTCACAATAATAAAAAGACACTGCTAATTACTAATTGTAAGTATATTTTATTTAATTCTGTAATGCAGAAACATCCCCCACATCTGTTTATCTTTTCTTCTTTGTCAGTGGTTAAGGAAGTGGTTCATAATATCAACATTGTCCTGGTGATTACATCAGGACTTTTATTATTAGTCCGAAAGTTAATCCCTTGACACATTACCTAACTGTTTTGTAAAATAACTGCAACAAAATGAGTTTAGCTTGTGAATAACAGAAAATAGTGACTTTCAAGTTTAACTGGTAGTTATACAAAGGACAGGGTTAAATGTTCAGTTACCTTTTTCCTTTATGAACTGTCTTCAACACAGTAGATATTAGAAATAAAAATAAGCTTCAATTTCAGAGTGTCTCAGCTACCTATAAGTAAAATAACTTACTTTACAGAGAATAAGATGTACTTTTGAGACCATAGAAGGAATATCTAGTAGCCTCCCTATTCCTTCACCTCTAGAATTTAAAACACTCAACTCAGATTCCAGTTTCAAGGAATGGGCTTTTAATACAAGGTCACTCAGAGTAGGAGAGAGTAAGTAATTGCTCAGTTGCATTCTTTGTCAGATGTAAAGTATTTTGTAACAGTACATCAACAGCAGAGTTAGCATAGTGCATTTGTTGAGAAAGAGAATAGTAGCATATCCCAAAACATCCCATTAAGACATATTTTCTGGCTCTTATGTCTGTGTAAGTCAATAGCTGACCTAAATCTTTTCAAGCCAGTGGTGGCCTGTTTGATGCAGTGTCAGAACTGTTCCCCATGAATGTACAGCTTGATTCAAATATACCTGAAATGTGGAGTCTATTACAGAGATGAGGTTTCTTAATAAATTTTATTGAGGACCTGCTATGTTCTTGCTAAGTACATATTAACTGGGGATGCAAAGCTACACATGGTATAACTGTGCTCTTGAACTGTTAAGGAACTCAGAGAACAGCGTCTGAGCCAGGCATGCACATGGCTAATTGCCCTGTAATATGGAAAGGACTTAATACTGACTCACACAAAGTACAGGGAAAATACAGGGGCAGGGAAGTAGACAGCATACACTTTGTTTTACTGGCCACTGTCAGACAGTTGTGTGTCTCAATCCTGTTGGCCAATCCCTTTAGGAACAGTATTATTGTGCTCTGGTTGGAAATGCTGAGGTGATAGTAAGGAAATGATTGCTAATCAGTATGGTAGGAATGATAATTTATTAATGTGAGGTTCCTGAGCATGGTTTTCACAAGCATCTTAGCCAGGTGATGGAAAATAGAAGAAACAATTTCCCTTCTAATAGATACTAAATGTACTTAGCATACATGGATGTTCAGGAAATTAAAAATAATTAACTGATGCTAAAGAATGGAGCAAGTTGAGTACCTGCCTATGTTTTTGTCTTGCTGTCCTTGTCATTTATTTGAAATTACATTACTGAAAGAGTTTTAAAAGCATTTAAAAAGTGATGATGTCAAACAGCCCTTTCCTGTCTTTTCCCCTCAGTGCATTTAGTACGTTTGTGAAATTAGAAATATAATTCATTTTCTACCTTTATAATATCCCTGTGACCATCATGTTTTTTCAAGTTTGTCTATTAAAAATGCTTGAATTATATGCAGATATTTAAGGTAATATAAGTAAGTATTCTTTCCTAAGTGAATTTCTCACATCTCTGAATTCCTCATGTCTCTAGAGTGAAAACTTAGGATTCGTATGCCTATTGTTTGTGTTTGTTGCTTTTCAGACTATCACGTTCCTTGCGTTTTTGCAACAGGAAATATTTGTTTGAATTTTTCTTCACATATTTCCTCTTCCTCATTCAAAGTTTCTCCATATTAGCAGAAACTTGGCTACTAGTGGACTTGGATAGGGAATGATAATTTTGTTTAGTACTGAGTTAGACTTTGAATTTATGCTGAGGTAAATGTAGTGATCCCAAAGTTTGCTACTTGTCACTTCTCAGAAAAGTTTTTGATAAAAAGATTTAAAGGAGTGTTACCAAGAGTTACTCTGGCTTATCCTTTTGATATAAGGCATACATTTAACTGAAACCTTTATCAGTTAGTAATCTTTAACTCAGAGCATTTTTACTATTCGATTATTGTTTATTCTCAGTTGTATTTTTTTTTTCCTAAATAACTGGGTTTACACTACTGTATGTGATTCAGAGCTGTAGGTTCACACCTCTTCAGATGATGTTAAAACCACACCACACACAACCACCGAGGCACCCATCGTCCTCTACCATCGACAACTTCCTTTCTTTCAAAGTTGGTTTATGCAGCGTCTGTTGATTTCATCACCTATTTTTCAAATCCTAACTATGGAAAGATAGACTTTAATGATCATGCCATATGGTAGAATGTAGTAAGTTCTATATAGTATGAATGGATTGTGTAACATAGTATAGGTTGGAAGTGAATGTTCCTTGCTAGGGATGAAAAGTTGGTATATAATACAGCATGGTGGAGCTGCCATCCTGCTGTTCTTTGGAGGGTGTTTGGATTCCAGTGAGATGGAGGACAAATCAGGTCAAGTGAATGCTAGGTAAAGGAAAACCGTTGCGTAAAATAAGGTAAGTTAGAGAAATATAATAAGGCTTTGATTACGCTGTCATGGAACCTGGACTTTATTTATCAGATAGAGAATCACTGAAATCCTTTGAGTAGAGTGAGAAAAAGTCAACACTATACTGTGATAGATTACTCTAGTGACACTAAAGCATGCATTAAAAGAAAAGAAACTTCAAGTTGGGACTAATGATCAAGAGGAATTAAAACAGATTAGGGAAGAAATAATAAAGAACTGAGCTCGAGAACTGACAGTAGGTATAGC